ATTCGACCTGAAGCAGTTTGAGCAGATAATGCGCGACACAAACGAACCAGCTACAGGTAACCGTGAGTCAAAGGGATGTGATATAGCTGATCTTATACCGAAGGAACTCGATATAAATAATGTCGGATGAAGAAGAGGACGGTCTCGGCCACGGAACGCCCAAAAGGCTGGACATCGATCCTTGGGCCTCGGGGCAATGCGACGTGTGTACATTTCGGGATTTAGGTCAGCTATGTCCAGGATCCTGAGTGATCCGAATTGGGTTTCTTGGATTTAGGCTAGTCCAGAACAAAGCTTGAGCTCCCCTTGAGCTTACTGTTATAGTGGTATATTAAATATTTTGAGTCGGAGATGTTACTTCCTTGGGTATTAATAAATCTTCCAAATATTACCTTCTATCTCTTCTAAATGTTTGTGTAATATTATATAAAATTCAGTATACAGTGTTATGTGGCCCAAGACTGAGAATCACTGATGTAGCACGAAAACGAATGTATTCGCGGGAACATCCCATCGCGGGGTACACGCGTGCACGCGCATGCAGATCAAGTTCTGGCGTCCAGAGTGGAACGTCGAAGGTAAAATCTATTAGCGTGTGAACTGTGTAACGCGATTAAACAACAAAAGCCCGGTACCTTAGTTTTCGCGACGCATTAATTCCGAACCGTGAATTACGTTCCGTTGAATGGCAATGCGTATTTCACCCGCTCTAGCGACGAATTAATACCAAGGGAATTTGGTCGAAAGCCATGATGTTACGAGCTTAGTCGATTTAATCATAAAGACACGCAATGTTTCATTCATTCATTGTTAAGATGAGAAATTCAACGTAAAAACAAATAATTTATTAAATAAATAGGAATAAGGAAAATATGTATGAATTCCAGGAATCAGGACTCTTTTCTCATCGATTTCAATCAAATTATATAAAAAAATAAACGAAAAGATATCTCCCAAAAACGAAGTTCAGCCATGATAAATATTGAATCGTATATTAACTCAACATGTTGGGACAGAACACATTTAGTTAACATGTTTTATTAATAAAATACACATATAAGTAGTATAAGCAAACGATATCAGTGGCATAAGTCAATGAAACCTGAGCAAGCATGGCAGATTAATTCGTCCGTAAATCGTATTCCGGTGGAGCTACTTGAGATACAACCAGCTACCGGTGTCGTATCGATGAAATGTAAATTTGGATAACTGCTTACAAACGTTATTCACGCCAGTGTGCAACATGCATGTCGCTGGACTGTTTCATGCATATGCCGCTCGCATCGAGCTTCACTCCGATACGGCTTTCCTCATCCCATATTCGCTTTTAAGGAATAAACGCGACATGTGTTTGCAAACCAAGCACTACATAGAGTTAACTGCCCATTTGCTCAAACATCATATTTGCAAGCTTGCCGGTTATGTAATTGACTCGTTGGGAATATATTATGGATAGACACATACATATTACTCAGTTGCAAATTAAGTAGAAAATGCTGCTCTCATTTGTATTCTCACGAGAACGTTTTTTTCGGCACACTAATTGCGTACGAATCTGTTATTATAATTTTGTCTGGCGCTTCGTTTTCATGTGTTAAGATTATAGAATAAACCTGAAGAAATTCAAGTAGCATCATTGAACCTTCTATTTTGTAAAGAAATTAAGATATTTCAAAAAGAGAATAAATATGTGTAAAGAATTTTTTCACAGAAGCAAAGCAGTGTTCCGATGATTTTATTCCGAGCTAGCTTCACACAGGAAGGTTTAAGTAATTGAAAGATAATCGTATCGAGCTAACACCGTCACGAACTCGAAGTGTATATGAATACAAATATTTCATTCTGTTGTTCTCTGCTTGCCAGAAGTGATCACGAGTTAATAGACGATATACAGTGGTGAACTATTAAATTTGAGATGGACAGGTGAGCGATGCGCGTTCCGCGTTGTACGTCTGAACGATTTGACATAGATGGTTGTGCTCAGACAGATTTAACAAGTCCTCGAACGAAGTCCATGAATAACACTCGCGTTCTCGCGAGCTATCGGATATGATTCAAGCGTTATAACACGGATATCGCGGGATTACCATGACGCTGGTTTTCATTTTCCGACTGAATTATGGATCTGTGCGCATACACTCGTAACACCGATCGTACACGGGAAACGCGTATGTAAATAACAGAGAGGCTGACGCGGATATAAAATTGACAAGTATAAAATCCGTGCGACGATTTTCTAATAGAGAGAATACGAGATGAAAGCGATGAAATAGTCCGGAATAATACAGATGTTAGGATTAAGGGATTATCGTGGAATTTGTTAAAATGTGAATTGAAGCATTAATGCAGAACGCGGTTTATTTCGTTCCCGCGTTGGCAAATTCAACTGTGCAAACAGCGTTCTACAATAGATAAACAATCAATCGATATGTTTTGTGCAAATTCATAGAACAAGCATAATGATAGATTAGAATATAATAAGTAAATTACTTCTCATATAAAATATACTAAATGATGTATTTTAATCTTAACATAATTCTCGCTATAATCATTGTAAGACAGGATGTGTAAAATTTTCATTTTACAAGTCCAATAAATAAACTACAACCATTTATTCCAATTATGTACATGAATCGTCAAAGCAATGCATGTTAAAGTAGCGAAAGGTTTTCTAACAAGCCATTCACAGTTACAATGATTCAACCCTTTGAGCTTGGGAATCGAACTCGATTGGAATTGCATCAGATCACGGTTCGTTAATAAAAAGATTCAATATAATGCTACAGCTGCTTTCATTGATCTTCCCGGTTTGCCTGAGTGACATTTTCCCGTCTCCTCGAGCCACGACCCGATGTCTCATCCATTTTAATTGCCTCTTTGAGGGCATCACCACATTGCAACGAGGCTACCACCGGTAAATAACGAAGGTATATACTGAAGATTTAATTGTATATTTGTCAATCCTAGATATAGCCAGGTATCCTTTCATGGACGTTCAGCCTTCGTCTTTGAAACGAGCTAAAGTTAACTCTAAATAGGTACAAAGACGCGAACCGATGAGCACTCGAATGAGAGTTTTACCGTTTAAGTTCAGATATATATTTAATCGAGAAACAAGGGAACAGTTCCTTCTCAGTCTTTCTGTGTAAGAAGTTCAGTTACATTTGAATGATTTTACTATCAATGAAGTTTTAATCACTTCAAAATGCGAAATGCGAATGCGTTATTGTAATTCACATTACACGATATAATTTTTATCCAAAGAAGAATCGTCTTTAATGTGAAACAATGCTCACAAATTTGACAAAATTGAACTTTCTTTGAACAATCCCGTTAATAGACGAACGAAATCCATTGAATATTCTAGTACGTTGGATTTAGATTTCAGTGATGATAATTATGCAGCTGTACGTAGGCATGTATTTCTACGAACATTTGCCATACGTACATATACATATAAGATACGTATATGTGGGAAACTAAAGCATATACAGTGGGGAACATTGAAACTTGGAAACTCCCTTAACAGTATTAACATTTCAGGGACACGTTCAAACAGAGTTGCGAGTAGGACAGAAACTGATCTCCAACAAATTATACCAACCACAATCAATGCTATCAAGATGCTACGACGAAATCATACTACGGCTTTGTGTCACTGTATGCTATTACATTTGCGATATCGTTTATTTTGCATTGATAGTACACTGCAATTCTTAATTAGACTAACAACAATATTGCAGTAATCCATAACTTAAATTATATTCAAATGCTTTTAGATTATGTAGATTAATAGATATATTATAAGTATTTAAGTATTCTGCTCTTAATACGCAGCAAATATTAATTATCTAGATAGTCATTAGGTAGGATATCGATTATAGGGAAATCGATTCTCTAGTTATCGATTACTTGATTACATAGATTGAACTTCCGAACCATGCACAAGGAGATTATTCGATCACCTGTATTAATGATCAGATTTATTGGTGGAACATAAAAACTTTTTTAGCGACCCGTAGATATATTATAATATTGAAACAAGTGATCTACGCAAATATACCTATATAATTTCCAAGTGTCTAATTTTATAATCGTTAAAGAAAATTACGGATACAATTGCCTGTTTCGGGCGATGCTAGCCCAATTTCAGTGAAATTCAATTCGACGAGAGAACAAATTAGCATCCATTGTTAACTTCGTGACAGTTTAACGCAATCAAAGAATACGGGAAATGGTGATACAAAACTTGTGCACAGTTTCAATTTCCCTTTATCTCCGCACCGAAGCTTTCTCACTGTAAGCGTGCATTCAACTAGCAAATGTAAAACACAGCGTTCGCAGTGCAGGAGAACGGCTCAATGACTATCCCTCCCGTTTGCCTTGACGACTAAGGAGATCCTATTATTTAGAAAACAACCTTGTCTTTATGTCTCTGCGTTTTTTTAATAAGATGCGATATATCTAAAGTCCGAAGAAAATGCAGGCTGCATTGTATTCTATTTACATATAACAGCAAGGAAACAGGTTTTTGTTGCTCGTGTTATTTGTGACGAATTATATTACAATGTATTTGTAAATTCTCTAAAATTTATTAAAACACGTAGTAGCTCGTAAGCATCATGTTACGTCACATCTTTCTTTTGCAATCGGTTCCTATAACTAAAGTGACAATTTCACCAGATTAATCACAATAGTCATAAAAAATAGTCATAAGTAAAACGATTTAATATAACGGTAATAGAATGCAATTAATTTCAAATACGGTTTGAGTGAGATGAATGCGCGTAGTTAAAAAGAAATGCGGCCAGCGCGGGGCTTTAGCCCGGTGGGTAAGAAATTAATTACGAGTAAAACGATGACGTATTGATCGCGGCGGATCGTGTGTTCCTTCGTAAAATGAAATTTGCGGTGAGATATTATAACAGGCAAGTCGCGCGCCGGTTGTATAATTAGTTTGATCGACGACGGTGAACGGGACGGTTACGTTCATTGCTTACCTGAAGATCTAGCGCGCAGTGATCGAGCAACTCGAGCATGTGTCTGATGTTCTGCGTGTCCTGGATTACGAAATTCAGCTCCATGTCGAATTCGCCACCCACCAACTATAACCAAAATAAATAAACCGTTATTAAACAGGTCAAACAGCTGTTTGGAATTGCGAGCTGAACAACGTATTAAAAAATAATTGAATTCTGCGAGATTGATCTCAATTTGTACATTTACCAACGATTTACATATTTGTAATATTCAATTGTTTATTTATCAGAAAGAAGTTTGTTTGTAATCTGACAAAATTTATACGAAAGAGTAACGTATTAATTTAAATTTCAAGATGAAATTTTGCACTCCCTCTGACATGCTTTAATATCCATGAAATTCAGTCATAATTTCTCTTTATGAAATTCTAATAGACTCTTAAACTTTTACTCCGTGTATATCAGTATTTGATAATTTTCTAGAAAGTTTGAAGCTTAATGGATTAAACTTGAGCAGGGCGCAGAAAAGATTCTAAACTTCGTTGTTTAATGAATTCAATTAAAACGTAAAATTGTATTCAATCATGGAATGTAGGAGACGATGTTTTCACATGATTTGTAATAGTATATCGTTTCAATTTCATCTACTGCCTGCTATCAAAATTTTATTTCGAGTCGAATCGTAAATCATAAAGTTGTATTGATATCGACGGGGTCAATTTTATATCACGTCTACACGCTAATAAATCGTTTCACATACTAGGGCAGTTTAGGAAACTACGTATACGTGCACAGAAACGTTCCTGGTGTCTTCTTACGGAGAAGTGGCTTATGTACAACTAAACCGAGGTAATTTCCGGCGAAGTATCTAGCTCTCCTCCTATTCCTACTATCAACTTCTTCCAAATACTCGCTTCGGTATCGATCATGAATTGCTTATGGCTTATGTCGCATCTATGCGGACTAGGACACGAGCAATTTTTACGGCCGTTGAACGCCCATAAAAATACGCGGATAACCCGATGACCAGTACAAAATTGAAAAGTAGCAACCACCTCAAGCCATATTCGAAAACCTGCAGGGATGGTTTATTGAAACACGAATGGAAATAAATTTTCAAAGGCAGACGAATGCATTGAATGAATTGAATATACTTTTTCTGTCCCTGATGTAGGGGTTCCAACATAAAATTTTCTTATTTACGATCAAACGGTTTTATGATTCTTAAGCAGTTTCCGCGAATGATTTAGCGTTTTAAATCTTCAACATTTCAATCGCATATACTACATGCTTCCATCGTAGAGTGTTTTACGCACTATCAACCAAAGTCTTCCAGAAATGCGTTCTGAAATCATATATTAGGGCGTCGAGTATTTGGCAAAAATCTTATTTCGCTCTCGCATCGCATATCGTTGGAATTTTTGGCAAAAGGCAGAAGATCGATATTTCCGAGAACCCTTCTATTTTTCAACGTAACTCTCGGATACGAGCAGAATTTTTGCTGCCTCGAAAAGATGGCCGCAGCTGGATGCGGTGGCAGCGTGAAACCGTTGTAGCGTGTCTCTCGCAGCAATAACGTCGAAACCCTCGGATCCTCGCCACAAAAATTTATTTTTCTCGAGTGGCGCTCGTGAACGGCGACTACGTGACACAGGCCCTCTCTCCTTTCCCAAGAATCCGAGGCGAAAACAGCGTGGCACTAACCCCTTCGCGTTCCAAACGAATCGCCCGTAGTAGAACGAGGGTCAATGTCTAACCCTTATTGCGCGCGTGTCTTGCGAACGACGACCAAGTATTTCGTAAAGAAACAAGAATAAGTTATTTCGGGGAGCATTGATGAAACATGTTTGTATAAAGAACGCGATGAAATGTTGACTAGGAAATGTATTTGTTTATCTCAAAATATAATTGGATGACGGTAATCTTAATTCTTAATATGTAATTACTGAATAGCTAACTCAGGCTTCGCACGACTTCGTACCGAAAACGAGAACTAGGAAACGCCGTATGTACTTTAAACGAGAATTCTTGTTTGGAAATAAAGTTCTGTGTACACCAGCCGGTAACGCAATCCAGTTAAATTGATTGCAACAGTTCAAACAGACTCTCGATCGTTTCAATTGTTTTTCTACGCAAATACGCGAACGAAATTTCCATAAACAATCCATTCATACAACATCCGACAGGATCGATCTGTGGATCTGTGTGAAGAGGTTGGAGGTAAAAACTAACAGACGTTTCGTGACTTATGATTTTCGATTCTCCGTTAGTCCACGATGCACGAAGATGAACTTTGAGAGTGTAGGTGAATTTACACGCACACAAACACGACTGCGAATACGCGGGAAGATAAACGAGCCCGAGAATGCAGAATGGGATTCGGTGAATTAGGGCCGGCCAGGCAGTACCGAGACCGCTAATTGGATACCTCTTGCTTTTACGCCTTCTATGTTTCTGTCAGCCGAAAACGGAGTACGAGTTGCAGTACCGAGTACGTGCCAAATTTGCTTATTCGGCAAACGAAAACCGTGCCACTGGTGAATTCGAGGCCAAGGATGGAATCCTGTAAAGAGTAACTGCGTGAAACTATGACCGACTATCTCGCATTGGGTCGGATCGATACACAGCATAAGTCACTCGATGATGGTGCGTCTACCGTGATCCGTTACGAATAAATCTGTCTTCAGAAAATTAAAATAATAATAACGTAGAAGCCAAAAAGTACAATTCATTAGTTTTATAATTGATCAATGTCTGCTGGGAAACATGTCTGCGTTTGTTCGGAGTATATAAGGAAGTTGCTGCCCAAATTTCGTTGAAAATACTTACATCGTTTTCTCTTTATATAATAATAAATTGCTAATGGTATTTGAAATATACAAGTATTTACAATAAAATGTTATTAGAAACATTTTCAATAATAAATCAAATCAAACAATTCATCCTCATAATTCCATTTATCCATCTGTTCAGTGTTTGAAACTACCCGAGCAGCTTTTTCTCTACATATATCTGTACAATATGTGTATATATAATATATAATATACGTTATTCAAAACCACTCGATCCACCAAAGCGAATTCTCGGCGGAGTTATATACGCCAGTGGTTATTTCGACAGGGCATTTGCAAACAGAATTTCAGGGAACCAGTCTGTTGTCGTCGTCTTTCTTTCTTCTCGTTTTTTCCCTCTGTCCACATTTCCCATTTCTCCTTTCACCTATCCGGGAAACCACGCCAACTTGATCGTTGTTCGTGCCAGCTAAATGTTCCATTTTCCTAGAGAAATAAAGTCATGCTCCTCTGTTTTCCTCTGCTCGCATTGATATACATAACAGATTCCACGATTCAGATATAAAACTCTTAATTTCATCCAACCCATACTGTATGCTGCATACTTTCAGGGAATATAATATTTCAAACGTGTTGTATAATATTCAGAAAATAAAACGAATGTTTTTCTTCAACGTATTTTATGATCAATGTTCATAATCAATGACCGCCTTAAGTGCTGGTATTTATTTACTGCATTAATTCTAATCGTTCCATGAATTGGCAGACAGCCACTAGCCAGCCCGGTTGACGGGTGACCAATTTGACGAGACCTGTGAGGTGTCAGATCCGGATCAATCTTCATCCTCGAGAGCAATTAGTGCTCATCGCGGAATTGGCGTTGGCCTCTATCATAGATCTGACTCCAACTCACTGAAAGTGTCTCGATAGCTTATAGTTATTTAATTAAGAGATCGGGCTTGTAATCGAAACATCAATATACATTAGGCGTCAAATTTTGATTTAACAATATACACGTATTTTTCTATTATAAAAAAAAAAAACATTCTTTCCATACCTAATAACGTACATTATTTTAAAGATAAATGTAAATTCAAACAAATTAATGATCTCTTCCATCAACCTGAATAATTCCACTTTATAATAACTATATTTACCGCGGTACATTTTCTTGACGCTGCCGGATTTTTCCCACGGGAAAGTACACAGACAAACGACTGCATGAATGATCTATTAGACGCGGTGCATTAAGCACTAACTAAGGAACAACCGCGCATTTTTCTCGCAGTAAGCGCAAGATGGGAAAGAGAAATGTGAACATCCATTGACTGCAGTATGCAACCCTTGGCCCGTCTCTCCTCTTCTCTATATGCGTATATTTCTCTCCTGTCGGCGTTCATATTTAAGCTGCGTTCATCCTAATTAGGACGCCATCTTGGCAAGCTCTAAATTCACAAGCATTGTTCCTGGCCGGGCCAAGTCATGCTTTCGGTGGCTCTACCGATGAATAGCCGGTGAATACCTTCCGTACTTTCCGTTTCTCCTTGTTAACGTGCCGCGGGAAAAGACGCATTGTCCCTCTTGCGCGTGACATTTCGCTCGACTACACCATGAGTCTCATTCAGTGTGACTGAAATTTTTTTGACTAAATTTTCCACGTAAAACTACATCTCTGTTCTTTTATTACTATTTATTAATATAAATTCGTGGAAGAGCGCGCAGTGTTGTTAATACAGTGAAAATTGTAATAAAGTGTAACCAAATTAGAAAGGATTGAATTATTAAAAGTTTCACAAACGCTAATGAACTGAATAAGTGATACTCAAGAGAAAGTGCGACGATAAGATTTCTGAAAATATGGCTAGAGCTTAATATACTTTCCTAGTACGTATCCATTAACAGTTAACGACTCTGCGCTACGATGCTTCAGAGTAAATGCTTGTTAATGGTTTTCGTCGTTAAGCGCAACTATGTTAGAGGAAAAATGAAGATCATCCTTCCCACGTAAAAAGTGCTCGTCGCAGCATGAGTGAGAACACATAGCACACTCTTATTATTAAACTGCGGATCTTTATAGGAAAATGTATAGAAAACATAGACTGCATGTAACGTACGAAATTGAACAAATAATTAAAAGTATAATATGTATACATCATTTTGTAACATTGAACGACATTTATTTTGCGTAAAAATCTGCATCCCACTTATTGTATTACTGTCGTAGAAACAGGTACAAAACGCAACATTCAATCAGGCTGAACTTTATTTTTCAGCTTAAGCTAGCCACGTACTACGTAATCCACACCACCCTATATTTCCTAATCCATTCGATCCTCTATTTCCTAAGCAGTAAATCGAATGAAAATCCAAACTCATCGGCCTACCAATCCGCAATCCCATCAAGTCAGCGACGCGGCGGATCGAAGAAATTACCAGCCTCCCAGTCGGCATTCGTATGCGTCGCGACGACTCGAGATATCCTCTCGAAGAGGTTCCTCGAGAGCGGAATTGGACCGCGAGGGTTTGCCACGCAAGCAATCCGCCAGCTTGGACTAATACCCCGGTTGCCTGGCGTCTCGACGCCGTCGGCTGACGGTCCTCGAACCCGCATCAGTGAGTATGATAGGACGGCGCGGCGCGACGCGGGCGGCCGCCTCCTCGATGTAAACTGCGATTTGCATTCGGAACAATGTTCGAGACCCGGGTCAATCCGGTTGGTCTAGTGTTCCCACGTGTCGAGAAACTCCCGACCTCCTAGCTCGATGTATCTGCGAAACGGTCGAAACTTATCCCCTTCACCGTATACTCCCGTGTTATTGAACCGGGAGCCGGCTCGAAAATTGCATCCGGTTAGTATCGTCGAGGATAGCGCGCGTCGTCCATCCGAAGAGCAAATATACAATGCATTTCGCTCTAGGAGAAGTGGCTGGTTGCGAAACATATATACATACATACATATATTGCATATATTAGGATCCGTCGCAACTCGTAAAGTTATTAGACAGTGCTTTCAGACAATGCTGATCAATAATGGAGAATAGGATTTATTCCATTCGATATTAGCGAAGAAATTTGTAATAGTAGTCGTACAGTAATCTCCGCATATACAAGATAATAAAAAGTCGTGTAAAAACCAGTTTTTACTTATACTTCATGCTGAAGACAACAGCACTATTTTTGGTACCCCGACGTGTCATCGACATGCTGAGGCTGTACGGACCGGTCCGAATATGACCCAGCATAATTGATAGCGACAAAAGAGTTTGTGTAGGTGGATGCCGTAATGAAGATAAGCTAACGATGAAAAGGCTACGTAAGTGGTCTTGGGTTCCAAAAGTTGCTTGGACCTACATCTACGTGCGTATCACCAGTCCCGAAATATTACCCTCATCTCTAGAGATCCTCGGGTTTCCCTTATATTACAACGTGCTGCGTTACCACTTGTTCTCACTTGAGCGCTCCCCTACTTAATTAATAGAGCTTCTGACACGCGACTATGCAAGTCGCGCGTCACTCTGAGTGCTGCTTTCACAAGAACGTCACGCAGCGAGCTTATACACATACCCGCATGTACGTCCATATGTATATTTCTCAACCCTTCGTCTTTTACGTTTTCATGTTTTATATATTTTACATGTCTCTAGAATTTATCCCAAATTATTTAGAGAATGGAACGTCAAATTCTAACTTTATATTTGATAGACGGTACCGAGATTTTTAAATCGAGAAACACTGTATCGCATATCCTATTTTCTTTCTTTAAATGAATGTTGAAAGCTTTCAACCTGAAACCGACGCACGCACAGTTTCCCAAAGTTCTACTGCCATCTGTTAGCACGCTAATTGCGAATGGCTGTCAGCGCGAAATGCCCACGCAGAATGAAATATGAGGCTCGGTTGCGGAATTGAAAGTCGCCTCGTTAATTGTTTTTTGTCAGTTATTCATTCACTCAATTATGTAAAAGGCCCTTGCGCAGCAAAATGAAAAACGTTTCATTAATCGTTTCCAATGGCGATGATTAATTTGTTTCGAACAGTTTTAACATAAAATTATATAATACTTCAGATATGCTATAT